GCTAAAATTATAAATATTTATAAAAGTAAAAATATGTAAGAAAACGCCAGAGTTGCCTCTTTCAAATTATAAAAGTTTACTAAAGAAGTCTGGAATAAAATGTTATAGATCAATAAGAAAATATCAAAACTGGGTGCGAGAAAAGATTTATATTGTAATGAATCCTGATATTAATTTAAACCCCGACTTTTTAGGAAATCTCTCCTTTTTAGTCTAATTTCTAGCTTTTGATGCCTGTAACATCGGATTGATCTTTTTCCAGCTAAATGAAGGGTTCCAAGCAAATCCAAAAATGATTTTCATATATTTTGTGTCAGAAAATATTGATATTGAGGCAATATATGTAGGTCTTAAATTGACAGCCTTGAATCATTTCTAAACTTATTTCTGAAGAACTTTTCATAACCAGGATATGCCGATAAAACTTTCAAATCCAAACGAATTGACCGCTCTAACGCTTGAAACTCGCATTTTGGACCTCTGTCATTAGATAATAGAAATCCAACTAAGCTCAACTTTTAACACTGTCCATCAAATAAAATATTTCATTTCAAAAAAATTTTATAAATTCATAAAGAAGATTTAGCAACCCTGCTCTCGACTTCCTATGACCATTTAGTGGTGGTTGCTGCAGCCTATGTTTATCAGTGTTCACGTGTTATTGTTGTGGGAATATTATTGTTACTTGAACTACTTGTAAACACACGGAACGCGCACGAAGGGTTGAACCGCTATAAAGTTGTTTTCTGTTTTATATTTTTTTTTGTTTTTGCGCATGTTGCAGCACTCTGCTCAGTATACTCAGCGCTGACAATTGACAATGCCAATGGGCGCCCAAAAAGAGAGTCGCACGGCCGACTTTTATATGTGCGCTTGTGGATAACGGTGTTGGCAGTGAAATGTTATGATTTCATCGTCTGCAAATTCACATGTGAACTGACAGCGGACGTTGACGGTTGTGCATGCGAGTCAAAACGTTAAGTAACGGTATACAAAAACGCAAAAAAACACACATACAAAAAAATATAAATAAATAGTTGCAGTGAGCTTGAAAGTAAAAAGAATATAAAATACATACATACATACATACATAAGTGAGTGCCGCAAGTGTGTTGCCACACGTGTTGAAACGGTGCAGTGGTCAACAGTGAAAGTGTGAAATGTGCGTGAAAGCTCAAGCTTTTTACTAAAACAAATATCACAATTAAATGCGGGTAAACAGTGTGTAATTACAATAACAACAACAAAAAATAGAAGAAAAATTTTGCATAAGACACAACGGTGTCTTAATTGAGAGCAAAGTTGCAAACGCTGGTAGACAATGCTTGAATTCTATCCAATGCCCACAAACTTGAGTCGTGGCGCTGGCTTTTATTCACACCATCATCAGAATCATGGCGGTACGCGTACATTTGGCAATGCGCCCAATTCGGTCGGCAGCGCAATTAATGCAACTGTATTGAATAATAGTGGCAACTGTGGACAACAGCAACAACAACAGCAACAGCAGCAATTTCAGCAACAACAACACCAGCAGCAACAACAATTACAACAACATCAAGTGCAACAACAACAACAACAACAACAACAATTAACTGCCTCACCGACGCATGCAACATGCGCTCCACTTAATCGCAGCAACAGCAGTACACCAACAACAGCAGCCACTTCGACACCCGCTACATCAACTGCAACCGTTTCCGCAACTGCAACAGCAGGCACGTCCGTCGCGTCACCGCACCGCATCAGCGACCCCCCAACAAAGGCGGCTTTTAACATAGCCGCAAGCGAAAAAGCCACTGCGGCAGCCCCCGAAGTCAATTCCAGTGCAACACTTGCAACCGCCATACCCGCGTGTCCCGCCGCCGCCACCGCCACCTCCACGGCACACATTTTAATGATACCCACTTCAATTTCAACATCGTGTTCGTCATCACCTTCGTCATCGTCATCCTTAATGACGGTGTCCGCCTCCGTTATGGCTCCAACAACGGCCGCTTTATTGCCGACGGCGACGGCGTCGACGACAGCATCGCTGTCCGAGCTGTCTGCGGGCTGTAATGGTCGAACAGGTATAATGAGTACTAGATAAGCGTTTTCGTAAAGTTTTGAATAATTTTGCGCAACAACAACAATTGAAATTTGAATTGTGAAAAGTGTTGAATTCAAGCGTTTTTTGGGCAATTATCGCGTGTCGAGACATTCGCAAGACATTTGAGACATTCGCTGGGTTCCCCGCTAAGGTGTGTAACGTAGGGATATTGCGTTAAAATATTGAGAATAGCTTTGTCATACTTTAATAAAGTTGCATACACATACATATGTATAGAGGTGTGTTTGTGTTTTGTTTATTACAAAGTTATTGGCTAGTCGTAGCTTTGTGTGAGTCGTTGCTTTAACTTTACAAGAAGGTGCGATTGATTGGGGGTTTCCTTGTGAATATTTAATAAAAGTTTCGGGAAGAAATAAGATAAAGAATTTGAATTTTACTTATATTTTTATGCAAAAAATAGTTTGTAATTACACCTTACATGTTTTGAATCAATGTCATATGTCAACGTCAATGTCAATGTGTTTCATTATTTTTAAAATAATGGATTACTAAGACGTCAAAGCCAATTTTCAGATTTCTTACCTTTTTTAAACTTTTAGACGATACTGAAATGTACCTTTACAAGTGATTTAAAATAAATAATCGTTTTCTGTGGCACCGATCAATCGGCTTGAGTACTAAACTAGCTTTATGCGTATCACAGTGCAATAAAAAAAAAAGATTCCTTGGAAAATTATTGATATAACTGTCCCAGCGATGAAGTGAAGTTTTTTTTTTTTTTGTTTGCATTATTGCTTTCGGATATCATTCCTCAACTTGACATGAAATACTGAAAGTATAATTGAATATTACAAGCACTGTGAACAAAAGGTATCGAATTTTGACTTATTTTCGACAGTTAAAATAGGAAGATTAAAAAAAAAAAAATATATATATATCAAAGCTTCCATAGAGTCTTAGCGAATGACGGTAAAAATATTCTCTCCAAATTGGTACTAGAAATCTTCAAAACTCTTCCTTTGAGAGTGGAAATCGTGTTGAAAAACACCATTCTGAGAAAACTGCGTTTAAAGATTGGAGTTGCAGTGTTCCCCACTCTGTTCCCTTTCAACAAGAAACGCTGTAGGCGTAATAGTTTTAATTTCGATTTCAAAATTTTAGAGAATGTTTATTACAGTATATACTCTTATCGGAATAATGCAACAAAAGAAAATCGATTTTTTGAAAATTTCACACTGATACGAAGCCTTAAGCTGGCGAATATAATTTTTTTAAGGCTACTTTGAAGCTGACAAATTCCAAAACTTATTTGATTTTGAAGCAAACGTTTTATTACAAATAGTTATGAGTATTCAAAACAAAAGAAATCAAAGATTAGTTTCCAAAAATACAGGGGTTCCAATAAGATTCTATGATTTAAAAAACCAACAAAAAAAAAAAAACAATGTTTAAGGAAATTAAATTATTTTTTATTTTATATGGCGTACACTCGATACAATCAAGTTCTGAATTTAACATCATTCGAACGGCCTGCACGACTTCCTTTGCCGGAACGCATTTCATGAACTCAATTTTCGAGTAGTCTAATAATGTTAAATCACTTATTCTTGGAAATCATTCAATGTCATAATTTCATGAAATAATCGAATTTCCAAATATTTCACGGCTGTTGTCCGTGCTGTGTGGCACGTAGCTCCGTTTTCTTGAAACCAGACGTTGTTAAAATTAACTTCTTAAAATTGCGGTCATAAAAAGTTGGTTATCATCGATCTCTACCGCTCACCATGAACAGCAACGGTGTCACCATCTTCATTACGAAAGAAAAAAAAAAACGGAACGTTAATTCCATCATACCAAAAACCATACCAAACTGTCAATTTAGGTGAATGTAATGGTTGTTCATGAATAATGTGTGGATTTTCTTCGCCCCAGAATCGACAGTTTTCTTTATATACCGACCACTCAGGTAAAAGTGAGACTCATCGCAGAAGGTGATTTTCTTAAAAAAATCTTTATCGTTTTCACGTTGTTTCAATACAAAATCATAAGATTCATAACGTTTATGGTGGTTGCAATTGAAGAAATATTATTTTGATAATAAAAACTGAATAATTTGTATACGCTTTTCTTGCGTATATCTTTTCATTAAGAAATTGTGAACATTACAATATTTCGGCTGCCAGCACTAAAAGGGTTAAAGCGTCCTGATATTGAAATTGAATTGTTGGTGCCTTGACCATTACAGATTTTTTATTAACATTTTCGGTTTTAGCAACCCAAAATTAGTAGTTAAAAGTAAGCTGGTGTCAATTGTACCGAGAACTATAGGTTAATGTGTAGCTACTTGGCTGTCTGTCATCGGATCAATGAAAAAGTAAAAATAAAATGTTCGGTGAAAGAAAATTCAAAACAAAAAAGTATTAACAGAGCAGAGCTTGTCAAAGATATCGGATAAAACGACACAGAAGATTTAAAATTTTTTAAATTTTATTACAAAAGTAAAAGAAGAGGTGTAAAACAAACAACGTAAAACGTTTTGTAAATTCTTTCTAGTTGATATAAGACGAATTCAGGTCCGAAGTCTTGCCAAATAAAATTTTTTTTTATACAAGGACAGGATTCTGATCGATCCTTTTTTATGGCAGCTATATGCTTTAGAATTGTAACAAATGAATAGCACAATTGCAAAATATCAGATTTCAGTCGTAGGTACTCGAAGCGTTAAAATTATTTTATCGCAATTTCCGGCAAAACAACGAAACCAAAATTAGATAGAACAAAATTGGTTGACAAAGTATTAGAGCATTCGAAATTGTATAAATTTTACTTGCACACTTTTTTCACATAAACTCAAAAAAAAAAACACGGTTGTACGTATCACATAAAACTGATCGAGCTAAATATATAGTATGGTTATTGGTTATTAGGGTGATTAAAAAAACAAAATTTTTTTTTGTTTGATACACTGAAAAATGGGTTCCTAGACACCAGTAAGGAAGCCTTTCCAAGAATGAGTTCTTAATTGTAACGGCAAGGTCCTCCTACTTACAATTTTCTATTCTTTCTTATTATCATATAGAAAACTTTATATCTCGCTTCCAGCTACTTGAAAAAATATCTTGTTCCTAAGATTTTGTAGGAAATTGAATGCTCTACAAAAAAGGTCTGTACGATTTTTTCGTAAACCCAACCGTTTAAAAGATATTAACAGTTAAAGTTTGATTATTTTTGGGAAAATTTTTTATTTCTTATGAATTTTATAACTTTTGTAAATTATTACGAATGATGAAACTCATAGGTTTTTGGAGAGGCTTCCTTAGAGGTACTAAGGTCTAGGAACCTATTTTTCAGAGTACCAAACGAAAAAAAAAAAGATTTATTTTGAACCACCCTAATGGTTATATATACATAAATGATCAAGATGACGGAAAAGTTGAAATCCGGTTGACTGTTTGTCTATCCGTCCGTCCGTCCTTGCAAGCTGTTACTTGAGATATCTTGACGAAACTTAGTATGTGGGTTCCTTAGTACAAGAAAAAATTCGAGTTCATAGATGGGCGTAATCGCCACGCCAGGAAATCACCATTAACCGAAAACATGTAAACATATACTCCCCATATAACGGTACTGTTAGAAACTACTAAAAGCGATAAATCAAAAACTTAATATACTTTAATATATAACTTTAACAACCACGCCTACTTCTCATATAGCACAATTTTAAATTTCACTTCATTCGTTCAGTTTCCAACACAAAAATCAAGAAGCAATTAATATAACGGGATAAAACTTTACACGAATAATGTCTGTAGTGTGTGCCATATTATGACCAAAAGTTGTTTAAATCCAATGAAAACTGTCTAAATAACTAGGTACCGAATATTCAGTCCCCGGTACCTATAGTTGACTTTGTATATAACTTCTCTTATAATGGAATGGCAAATACCTAATATAAAGATTATGTGAATTACTCCCAAATGTTTTACAGTGTATCTTTGCATCTAAAATTGATAAATTTGAGTGAAAACTTGTTCTAGCCTCCATATAACTAATATCAGAATTTTCGAACATCCTGCTGACTTTACTCTAAATGATTGGTTTTACACCTTAAAGTATTTCCCTAGCTTTGATTCTTGCAAATTGCTAGAGTAATAAATGTTCGGTTGTACCCGAACTTAACCCTTCCTTACTTTTAATTTTTAATTTCATTAAAAAACAAAATAAGACTCCACTAAATGATTCAAAACGGCTTTTTTATTTCATATTAGAGGACCCATCCACGCTTCACTGTGGCTGTTACATAGATAATACTACTACTACCATCTATATATGATCTATTAGTTGGATTAGAGCTATTAGTTAATGGGATATAGCATTTTTGTGTAGCAACTTGTGTTAATTTACAAAAAAAAATTGATCATAAAGCATTGCTTTTAGGGTGAAAATACCGTTGAATTTGGGCTTAGGGAAATCCACCGTTAAAAAGATATTTGCTAAGCTAGAAACAGGCGAAGTGAGCACCGAGGACAACGATGCTCTAAAGTGGCGAAAGCTCAGTGCAAAAAAAAAAAAAAAAAAAAAAAAAACAAGTAAGGAAGGGCTAAGTTCGGGTGTCACCGAACATTTTCTACTCTCGCATGATAAAGTGATAATCGAGATTTCAGGCGTGGTTGTGAACCGCTTCCATCCATATTTGGTACATGTCATCAGGGTGTTAAGAAAATATTATATACCGAAGTTTATTGAAATCGGTCGAGTAGTTCTTGAGATATGGTTTTTGGTCCATAAGTGGGCGACGCCACGTCCATTTTCAATTTTTAAAAAAGCCTGGATGCAGATTTATTCTGCCATTTCTTCCGTAAAATTTAGTGTTTCTGACGTTTTTTGTTAATCGGTTAACGCACTTTTAGTGATTTTCAACATAACCTTTGTATGGGAGGTGGACGTGGTTATTATGCGATTTCTTCAAATTTTGAATTGTATATGGAAATGCCTCAAAGAAACGACTCTATACAGTTT